TTACAGAAATCATTCATGGAGTCTTACAAGGGATTAAGGTAATGAGTGCAACTGAACCCAATTCACCCAGACAGGGAAAAAAAACTACAAATACCATGATTGCCCAGTAATGTTGGCTGTGCCCAACTGTTTTGGTGGATACTCATTTAGAAGTGTTTTCAACCTCTTTATGTTTGCTCTTTTATACAAATGATATACATGAATTGTTCTGGATCAGGAGCACAGAAGAAGACATAATTTAACATTACAATTAAGTATTAGTTTAGTTTGTAAAAGGTGGCTATGTAGGAAGACCAAGGAAAGTAGAGGTAATTGTTACATTTTTCTCTTAAAAGTTGGCTAAACAATCCATTTGAGTACACAGTAGGAGAGCAGCCTTATGTCTTAAGTGACCTCAAGGTATGTTATGAACTCTGGCTGTGATGTCAAGCAAAGGTTCCAGTCTCTAGAATAAGACATATTGCCATATTACATGACCATGGCCTCAGTCATTGGGCTCTTAACCAAGTTTACAGAACCAGCCAAGAGTTCCCTACTGTGTGATAGATCTAAAATCAAATCACAAATTTCATTGTTCATATAAGTGTCAACACACAGAGCAATCCTCATTGTCTGCTATGTTCAGCGAGTCCGGTTTTATCCCATGCTTTTTCAGATCCAGGCCACCTGGCCTTGTTGAGTTCCCGATAGATCATCCCCAATGTCTCAGTATGTGGGTGCACCCCTCGCGGTCCTGAGTTCCTTGCTCGTGCTCTCTCTCCTTCTGCTCCTGATTTGGACCTGGGGATTTCAGTCTGGTGTTCCGATTTGGGTCTCTGACTTCTTGAATTTTGCATGCAAATGGATGGAAATAGAAAACACTATCCTGAGTGAAGTAAGCCAGACCCAAAAAGAGGAACATGGGATGTACTCACTCATATTTGGTTTCTAGCCATAAATAAAGGACATTGAGCCTATAATTCGGGATCCTAGAGAAGCTAAATAAGAAGGTAAACCCAAAGAAAGACAAAAGTCATCCTCCTGGAGATTAACTTTGATCGGGCGATGAAGGCAGACAGAGACAGAGACCCAAATTGCTGTGCCCACTCTTATGTGGATGGGCTGCACCCCTATACAAGACTGGTCTCCTCAGGGCCTGCCCTGTACTGTGGAGCCAGGCTGGGGAAGTTGCACTGCCCTCTTTCACAGCTGTCCTAGGCAGGGACAGACAAGACATGGGAAGCCAGGCCCTGTAAGCTGTGCTCCCCTCTTCACAACTGCCTCAGTATGGTGAGAGAGTCTCTGGAGAGCAATGCCAGGCACCCTGACATCCCTGATGTCTCAGGGCCAAACAAGCCCTCAGAATCCAAAGTGGGGAAGCTGCACCGCTATCTTCCATGACTGTCCACTGCAGGGTCTGAGAGTCCTTTAGTAGCAGACTAGGACCTATGATGTCATGCCTGAGATGCTATGTCCCCTCTTCCATGGTGAACCTCTGCTGGGCCAGACAGGACATCTGGAGCCTGTCTGAGGAATTATGCCACCTCTTTATGCATGTCCTCCCTTGGGACTGCCAGGACAGGCAAGTTATACCCTTCATTGATTGCTGGCCTGCTATGGACAGAAGAGTACCAGGGGAGCCCAGCCAGAGATGCTTCACACCCCTCTTCCATGAATGGTCTCCCCAGGGATGAACAGGACATGGGGAGTCAAGATAGGGAATCTGCCTCTCCTCTTCCATGGCTGGCCTATCCAGGACTGGCCAGTAACTGCTGTGTCTTGTGTGAAAGCTCTGCCCCATCTTCGATGCCTGGTCTGAGACTCCTCCACAGGACCTGAGATCCTTGGGGAGTCACACCCTGTATTCACAACTGGCTTTCCAGGACAGAACATGGATTGTGGTGCCAGGCAAGGCAAGCTGTGCTCCTTCCTCTATGACAGAAATCCCAGTGGCCAGCCATAGAATGGGAAGCCAGGTGATGGAAGCTGTGCCCCTCTTCCAAGGATTACCTGTGCCCCTCTTCCATGACTAGCCTCCCTAGGTCCTACCTTGCCCTGCAGAGTTCAGGCTTGGGAAGCTACATCCCTCCTTCCACAGCTGTCCAATGACAGGACATGGAATGCCAGTCTCCGTATAGTATGCACACTTCATTCAGAACTGGTTTCTGTGTGGCCAGATTCAGCAGGGCCAGCCAAGGAATCTGTACCCACATCTTTATGATTGGCCTCAACAGGACTAAACAGGCCCTGCAGAGACAGTAGGGGGAAGCTGCACCCCTATTTTCCATGGTTGGTCACAACAGGTCCTGTAGAGCTAGGCCTGGGATGCTATGCCCCTATCTTCCACGTATGATAAACTCAGGGCTGAACAACCCGTTAAGAGAAATGCTGGTGAAGCTGTGCCACCAATTGTCCACAGCTGGTCTCCACAGTAAAGGACAGGCCCTGGGGTGGCATACCTGGGCGTCTCTGCCCTTGACAATAATCTGTGCCACCTCTTCTTTGGATAGCCTTCCCAGTGACTGACAGGCCAAGTAAGTTGTTCCCCTTCTTCAACTCCTGGCTTACCTTGGACTGGAGAGTATTTGGCGAGCCAGGCTAGGGGTGTGGCACACTGCTTTTCCATGACAGACTTCTCTTGGGCTGACCATCTCATGGGGAATCAGGCTGGTGGAGCTGCCCCAACCTCTCCCACGACTGTACTTCCCAGGGCAGCCATTCTCTGGGATCTAGGGTTGGAAAATTGTGCACTCTCTTTCACAGATGACTTCGATAGGTCTGGCCATGCCCAGCAGATCCAGGCTGCAGAAGATGCACCCACTATTCCAAGACTGGCCTCTCGACTGATGGCCATGTGCTAGTGAGCCAGGCTGGGGATGCTCTGTTCCCTCTTCCAAGGTTGGACTAGGCAGACATGGACAGTTTCTTGGGAATCTGGCTAGAGATACTGTTCTACCTCTTACAACGTTGGCCAAGATCAATAAAATAAACCATGTGCTTTCAATGATGTAGGGAAAGGTAACACTTATCCATTGCTGATGGAAGTGCAACCTTCTCTAGCCACTATGAAAATCAGTGTGGTGGTTTCCCAGGAAGCTAGAAATCAATCTACCTCAAGATCTAGCTAAACCATTTTTAGATATATACCAAAATACAGAAACATCTGCTGATTCATGTTCATTGTTGCTCTATTCATAATAGCTGGACACAGGAAGCAACCTAGATGTCAACAAACTGATGAATGGATAATGAAAATGTGATACATTTAGACAATGAAATATTATTCACCTCTTAAAAATCATAAAATTCTCAGGTAAATGGATAAAACTAGAAAACATCATCTCAGCTGAGGTAACATAGATCCTAAAAGACATTGTATGATTTCTCTCATATGTAGATGTTAGCTTTTAAGCTTTCAACATATATGTTATTTTACAAATAACCACAGAGGTTGGATACCAAGTAAAGGACTGGGGGAATGAGATTCCCTGAAGGAATAAAAGATAGAATATGTTGTTGTGGAGAGACAGGGATACTAGGAGAATTAAAATGGGAGGAGATGAGTGAAAAGGGTAAAGGAGAGACTATGGGGATAGACAACTAAAACTAAAGGACATTTGAGAAACCAATGTGGAAACCTACTACTGTAGAAGATTCCTAAAACACATGCATGTTTGAGAGGAATCTAAATGGAGTTACCAAATACAGTGGAGACAACTTGACATCTTATGCCACCAAGTAAATCCTCCAGTGCCCGTAATAGCTGATACCTTGTTGAGCTGTTGGCCAAAGAGGCCCCATGGAAACCCTCAAATATCACAGGTTATTTCCAATGCTACTGAACACCGTCCATAAACTGATAGTACGGCTCTATTGCTGAAGGTAACGTTTACTTATCTCATCAAATATGGAAGAACTGAGCTAGTGCCTAATTAGAAGCTTCACCTTTATTGATCAGCTATTTTGGTTCTAGAAGTTACTCTGCTTGATACCATAAGAGAAAGGTAATCACCAATATTACCGAGCTACAAACCTGTGACTTACAGCAGTGACCTGCCTGTATGACACACTAGCTTAAAAATGGCACAAATTTTGTGGGAGCAACCAATAACTTTGTGATTCCCTCAGATGGAAGTCATACCTACACTACAAAGTGGCTAAGAGCCTCAAACTGATAAGTCAAGATCTTAGGTGATGCCTACTATTATTCTGATAAAGGAACATATCTATAAAATGTCTTTTAATGGCAGCTAGCTATACCCATACATCAGTCTTGCCCAATCCACATCAGAGAAGCTTCTTCTTCTAGTAGATGGGAAACCCCCAAGTGCACAATGTGTAGAAAGTGACAGACATTGGAGCATTCTGTCCTAAATGGGATGTTTTGATTGAACCCCGACTCACAAGGCTCAGGGAGGTGTGAGGAGAGGAGGCAGAAAACTTGTAAGAGCCAGAGGTGATGGATGAATCCAAGGAAACAGTGACTTCCAGGCACAGAAGGACTGATGTACATATGAACTCATGTAGACTGTGGCAGCAAACACAAGGTTTGCACAGGTTAAATCCTGTAGTCCTAGCACTGAGAGGGGGTACTGTGCATATAATTCTTTGAAAACTTTGTATATTCATATAACGTATTTTGGACATATTCACCCACGCCATCCCTCTCAACTTCTTCTCCTTCTTTTTAATATATATATATATATACACACACACACACATACATACAAATAAATATGTATGTATACATACACACACACACACACATATATATTTCACTGTGTTCAATTTCTGCTGCCAGTATATGGACAGGAATTGGGGGTTGGGCATCCACTGAGACATGATTGATCAAAGGGCTTCCAATTCTCAAACTGACTCTCTTTCCCTGAAGAGATCAACTGTCAACAGCTCCTCAGAAGCCCCGCCCCCAGAAGGGGCGTTCACGGGGGGGGGGAGCGCAGCTGTCTAATCAAGGTTTATAGGCAGCGCATGCGCGGGTGGGCGGGCTGTATACAGGGGGAGTCAAGGAGACCCCTGTTAAGCTTCTGGGCTCCTTCAACACCACAGAGCCTCGACCTTTGTCCCAACCGCCGCCAAGGAGCTGCCGCCTATCTTCCATCACCGCCAAGGCGCGGAGCTGCTCGGACTTGGCCGCGGGTGAGCCGGGGGGAGCCGACCGGTGAGGGCTCAACTTAGTTGAGGGAAGTCTGGGCGTCTGAGGAGCGGTCGCGCGCATCGGCCTCTCTGCCTGGGTTGCCCGCGGCCACGCGCGAGGGGGGTCAGGCGAGAGCATCCGTGGCCAGGAGTGGGAGGTGCGGCCACTTATCCCAGCCTCCAGGGATCCGTGTTCTCCTGCCGCGAGCTTCAGTGGGTCCTGCTGCAACTTTCCTCTGATGGACAGGTGCTCAGCGGAGGCATCGCAGGAAAGAGCTCCCTGGTACAGTGGATCAGCCAGGTAAGCACTGCGTGCCCTGGCAGTCTTAGGGCATTTTCCCACGCTTTCTCTGGGGGAGGGGGTGTGACCAACGCTCAGAAAACTGCATTCAGAACCTCAGCTGGGGCCCTAGTGCAGAGGCTAAGACTTTCAGATCCAGGAAGTTATTGCTTTTGGTAAATAGGACTCTCAGGATGCATGAAACAATTGATGTAGAAAACCCAGTTTTCTTTTAGTTGGGAAACTGTCTAGCCTCATTCCCACCCCATCTTGCCTCTGAAAATCTGGGTCATATTAAGTTTCTAGACTCTACTGTGAATTCAGGAATTCACAATGAAAATTGGATTGAGCAACATTTTAGTATTCGGTCTTTGCTTTTCCATTCCACAATGAAGCTACTTTAGGATTTCATTGCCAAAGTGATGTGTCTTTTTGGGTTACTACAGTCACCCCCTTATCATCCCCTCTTATTTCCCAAAGTCATTTATTCATTTTTTTAAACCTTTGGATTGCCCGGGTCTGGAGAAGTGCTCCAGTTCTTTAAAGATCATTGTCTGTAAAGACGTTCCCATGAGTTCAGGTATCTGTGAGATAAACCGGTGTCATTTTGTACAGCTTTATTTCTTGGGGCTTTCCTAACTGCATTGACCACGTTCCTTCTTAAGTTTGGGGTGGATTCATTCCACTGCATTTCCTTGGCTGGATTTATGCTATGGTTATGATTCTGTTTTAATTCCCAAGTGGAACTAGCTTAAGTGTCCTGTCATTCATATTGAAGCATGATGGCCATGCCATTTCATGTTAATTTCCATCTCTTTGGCATCTTATAAAGTTAAAGTTTTCTTTGAAAAATACTGCAAATGATATTTTGCTTTATTTTCTATGTGGATAACGTAGAGAAGAGTGACTTGGGTTTTCTGGTTTGTTTGGCTTTTATTGACTTGAAATTCAGCTCTGTTTACCTGATGAAACCAAGGGAAAATATTCTTAAGTCACAGGAATCCAGGACTCACAATCTTTGTGCTTAGTTTTCCTTTCCTGGGTGGGTGTGGTGAGGGAAAGGAGGTTGGCAGAAGTTGGAAGTTATTAGGGAGTCACATAATACAAACATAATTGCCTACAAAATCAGGTGACCAGGACTCCAGTTGCTTTCCTTCCCTGGACTGTGACAACACATAAGTTTGTGTCAGGGTTTCTTAGAATTTAACTTGCTTCACTAAATGGAGACTGTATGTAGTAAAAATGGTCTTTCCTGGTCTTTTTCCTCCTTAGGGACTCTGATGGGCTGTATTTTGCTATGTACTGTCTTTACTAGAAAAGTCTCTACACACAGTTGGTATTGAGCATTCGTTTGATTTGGGTGAAGTGACTTTTACCAGCTACTGATAGTGTACACAGGAGAGACTTAGTAATTCTTGGGCCTTGAACGGGATGGTAATTAGCTTGCACATCTGTGGTGAAATTTAGATTAGGAAAATTGGCTAAAGCTTCTCTCTGTTTTGAGATAGGATCTCATTATGTAACCCAGGCTGGTCTTGAATTCACAGATATCTACCTGCCTTCTGAGTGCTGGAATTAAAGGCCTAGCTTCCCTCTTTCTCTTTGTTTTAGTGTTTGTCTTGTAGTGTAGGCTGGCTTTGAACTCAGGACTTCCTTGCCTCAGTTTCTTTAGGGCTACATAGAAGGTTTGTATGACTTTCCTTAGTTTTCAAAACTCTTTATTTGTTGATTAATTTATTGATTTGTTCTAGAAGATGAGTGGGGTTTGGACAGTACACTGTGTACTTCCAAGAAAAGATTGCAGTTTAGACATCTGTCCCTCACTCCTCCTCCTTGAGACTATTAAACCGCTAAACAAATTCATTCATAGCTCTTCCCGCTCCTCTATTGTGAAACTGGAAGAGAGCTCAATTTAGAAGAAATTCAGTTTTTCTATTTATGTAAATTTGGTTTTAGATCCTTATCTTCTCTTCATCTGTGTTTGAAGCCTTGAGCATCTCACTTAAGTGCTGAGCTTGTTTTTTTCCTTGTAAGGGGTAGTAGCGTTACATGTTGTTAGGAATGCATGAAACAGTAAAAGGGACTTAGTACACTGTCCGATATTGTGTTGTGGCTGCTTCCTGGTGGTTCAAATGATAATTTTGATACATTTTACATGACTTTAGAAAGTGTTTTTAAATGATGTTTCTGGACAGATGATAGCTCAGTCGGTAAAGACACTTGTCACCAAACCTGATGACCTGAGGTCAGCCTCCAGAATTCCACATAATAGAAGAAGAGAACCAACTTCTGAAAGTTGTTCTCTGACCTCCACATTCACACTGTGACACTTATCCCCACTCTAAACTCACAATTGACTGTAAAATCACAAAATGTCATTTGACCAGGAGGATGATAGAAACTATACTGTTTCATCACCTGTTAGCCTTCTTCTCAGTGAGATTCCAGATGGTGTGGAAGGAAAGAATTCTGTACAGCTGTGTGGTTTGGGAAATGACAAGAGATAATTGTTTCCAATACTAGCAATAGTGTGTCCGTCTTAGTGTTCTGTTGCTGTGAAGAGACACCATGACCATGGCTACTTTTTAAAAGGAAAGCATTTGATTGGAGATTGCTTACAGTTGCGAAGTTTTAGGTTTGTCATCTTGCTGGGAAGCATGGCAGCATGCGGGTACACATGGTGCTAGAGAAGTAGCTGAGAGTTCTACATCTGGATCCACAAGCAACAGGAAAAGGGAGATTCTGGGTCTGGCTTTGGCTTCTGAAACCTCAAAGCCCACTCCCAGTTACATATTCCTCCAACAAGGCCACACCTCCTACCCTGTTAACTAATGTCCCTGCCTGGTGACCAACCATTCAAATCTAAGATCCTGTGGGGGCCGTTCTTATTCAAAGCACCACAGTGTCTAAGTTACAGACAGTTTAACTTTTCCATTTTCCATTGGCCTTGAAAACAATATGGCTTTCTGACATCTCAAGTTTGCACAAGATAGAACTGGACTGGGTGTTAGCAGAATACACAGTTAAGAGACTTAAGCACACCACTCACTTGCCTTTCCAAATGCCACCATTTACAGAAGAAAGTTTTTATTAAAGTGGGTTGTACCAACTTAGTTTAGAATTTTTAAGATACCAAATGGAGTAGATATGTTTTAGAACAGTTTACCTGATGGAACCTAAAGATTGTGGATATATATATATACACACACATATATATATCTTTGACCAAATTACCTGGGAAAGCTTGGACTTTGATCCTTGCTTTCCTTAAATTTAACTTTTAAGTTCACTGAAAGAGTCTTGAACTATAGTTATTACTGACAAGGATGAACATCCTCATGGAAGTGATTGTCATTGTGCTGTGTGTTCTGCCTAGCTTACCACATTGGGGGAGAGAGAAGGAAGCTGTTAGTAGGAAGATGTTTATTTTATGCACATGTCTTCAAGTGTATAGTTTCTAGTTCATCTTTGTGTTGATCAGGTCATTGTAAGTAGATCAGACATTATTTTTATCAGTCTTTGCTGGGAGGTTGGACTGGTAGATCAGTACTGAAACACTGTGATTGAATTCTGCATTGGGCAATGGGGTGCTTTGTTTTACCTCTTCAGAGCTGCGTCTTGGGACATTTGTATGATATGTTTGGTAAGTGAAAGAAAGGGGAAGGTGTGAGGCATTTACTCTTTATGCCATGATGTAGGCTTCTTGTAGGGATTTTTATTTGCTGATCATAAGCCTGCTCTTGATCTTAGAATCAGTTCCTGCCACCACAAATAATAAATTACTCTTGAAAGGTTTGGAATTAATTAGGGTAGCACACTGCAATCAGTTGCCATTTTTAACTTGAGATGTCAACATAGGGGAAAGCCTTTCCTAGAAGGTAAGCATCAAGTTTTGTAGAACCCCAAGTTGGTACTCTCCTGTGATCTCTACTAAAGGACATTGCTATTTTCCGCTGTCTGATCTTGAGCAAGCCACTTTATCTTTCTCAGACTTTGTATCTTTGCTTATTATTCCCACCTCCACCCCCACTCCCCACTATTATCCTGCCAGCTAAATGCTACTGTTGTGGGAAACAGGCCAGAAAGCCCCATACTGTGTGCTGGTCCAGTTTCATTGATCAGCTCCTGGTATGGACAAAATGGAAACCCTAGCCCTCAACGGAATACGTGTCACTCACTTCACTGTTATTTTCCCCCATGGAAAGCCACGAAACTAGTATAAGACATCTGTCCGTCCTCTTGCTTGGGAACGCTGGCCTGTTGTCATTTTCCGTTTGGGTCTTCTCACATTTTCTCTCCATGAATAATTATCAGGGAGTATTTTTAAACTAACCTTTTGTTCAGAATGCTTGTTAGTTGCAAATCACAGTGGATGCAGCAGCTGACTTTGATGCTGGGGCCTGATGTCGGATGAAGCAGCAGTTAACAGTGAGCAGTGTCTGGATTTTTAAAGCAGACTACGGAGGAGGTCAGTGTAGCTGCTGTTCTTTACTGTCATTTTCATACTTATCATTTAAAATTAGTTCACTCAGTTTTCTTCTGTGCTAGGTGCCCTTTATTTTACCTACTTTCATCATTTCATTCTCAACCCCTCCCTCCTATGGGTGGGGACCAACAAAGAATCCTGAGAATGAAATTATTAACCAATTTTTAGGATAAGGAAAAATTACCTAGTAGGCCTTAATGTGTCATTGAGTTGATAATTATGCCTCAGAGGTCAGGCCTTTCCATATCGTTGATGTTGTCACATGAAAATTTCAAGTTCATTTTAAAAACAAATCAAGTTTGTTGAGGTATTACAGAATGCAATAAATACACCCATATTGAGAACATGAGGTTTAGTATGTTATGATAAAGCATACTTGCCTGTAACTCAACAGGGTCAAACCAACATTTTTACCATTTTCAGGACTGATACACCTGCCACCTTCTAGGCTAGTCTCTTTAATGCTCATCTGTTGCCTACTCTACCATAGGCATCCCCTAGGGTACTCTGCATTTTGGTAGTGTAGTGCTATCTT